TATAATTTGTTTTGGATAATTCATGTATTTCTGACTTTTATGCAGTTTATTTGAAAATATTAAAACTGATATTTTTCTTTAAATCACCATCATTCTTCAAACTTTGTGGGTAATCTATATTCTCATGTTTCAGTGGCCTCCTAGGTTCATGCTTCCCATTAATCCCTCTACCTTCAATGTCTGGGTTCAATTCCTAGAGCTTGTCTCTTCCTGTTTATATGGTTTAAATTTTTAGCCCCCCTCAATTGAGATGCCAAAAAACAGTATTTCTCAACCTTGGGAACTTTAAATTAAAGTTACAGTTTTACACATAACTGAAAGTTGCCAAGGTTGAGAAACATTGCCATAAAAGCACACAATGATGGCCAGAACTACTCTGCTCAAAAAAATAAAGGGAACACAAAAATAAGACATCCTAGATCTGAATGAATGAAATATTCTTATTAAATACTTTGTTCATTACATAGTTGAATGTGCTGACAACAAAATCACACAAAAATTATCAATGGATATCAAATTTAGCAACCCATGGAGGTCTGGATTTGGAGTTACACTCAAAATTAATGTGGAAAAAAACACTACAGGCTGATCCAACTTTGATGTAATGTCCTTAAAACAAGTCAAAATGAGGCTCAGTAGTGTGTGTGGCCTCCACCTGCCTGTATGACCTCCCTACAACACCTGGGCATGCTCCTGATGAGGTGGCGGATGGTATCCTGAGGGTTCTCCTCCCACACCTGGACTAAAGCATCCCCCAACTCCTGGACAGTCTGTGGTGCAACATGGCATTGGTGGATGGAGCGAGACATGATGTCCCAGATGTGTCCAATTGGATTCAGATCTGGAAAACGGGTGGGCCAGCATCAATGCCTTCCTCTTGCAAGAACCACTGACACACTCCAGCCACATGAGGTCTAGCATTGTCTTGCATTAGGAGGAACCCAGGGTCAACCACACCAGCATATGGTCTCACAAGGGGTCTGAGGATCTCATCTTGGTACCTAATGGCAGTCAGGCTACCTCTGGCCAGCACATGGAGGGCTGTGCGGCCCCCTAAAGAAATGCCACCCCACACCATTACTGACCCACTGCCAAACTGGTCATGCTGGAGGATGTTGCAGACAGCAGAACATTCTCCACGGCATCTCCAGACCCTGTCACGTCTATCACATGTGCTCAATGTGAACCAGCTTTCATCTGTGAAGAGCACAGAGTGCCAGTGGCGAATTTGCCAATCTTGGTGTTCTCTGGCAAATGCCAAATGTCCTGCACGGTGTTGGGCTGTAAGCACAACCTCCACCTATGACGTTGGGCCCTCATACCAACCTCATGGACTCTGTTTCTGACCGTTTGAGCAGCCACATGCACATTTGTGGCCTGCTGGAGGTCATTTTGCAGGGCTCCGGCTGTCCCTCCTTGCACAAAGGTGGAGGTAGCAGTCCTGATGCTGGGTTGTTGCCTCCTACAGCCTCCTCCATATCTCCTGATGTACTGGCCTGTGTCCTGGTAGTGCCTCCATGCTCTGGACACTATGCTGACAGACACAGCAAACCTTCTTGCCACAGCTTGCATTGATGTGCCATCCTGGATGAGCTGCTTTACTTGAGCCACTTGTGTGGGTTGTAGACTCCGTCTCATGCTACCACTAGAGCGAAAGCACTGCCAGCATTCAAAAGTGACCAAACCATCAGCCAGAAAGCATAGCAACTGAGAAGTGGTCTGTGGTCACCACCTGCAGAACCACTTCTTTATTGGGGATGTCTTGCTAACTGCCTCTGCTTTCCACCTGTTGTCTATTCCATTTGCACAACAGCATGTGAAATTGATTGTCAATCAGTGTTGCTACCTAAGTGGACAGTTTGATTTCACAGAAGTGTGATTGACTTGGAGTTACATTGTGTTGCTTAAGTGTTCCCTTTATTTTTTTGAGCAGTGTATTTCAAAAAGCATCAATATTTTACTCTCATAATTCAAACTGACTTTTAAATGGACCAGAGTAACAGTAGTGGGGTTGCAGTGAAGAATTTGCATTGCTTATATTTTTATAGGTTCTCACCATAGTAATCTCTCAGTTTTTGGAAAAACTCCAATTTGCAGACAAATTCAAATATCAAAAAACATAGAAATGTTTTATATAAAAAGGTGAGCTACTAACGCTTTGGTCTTTTTGAGAGATGTGGACAAATGATGAAATTTGTGTCACTCAAGAACTGATGATAACTGTGGATATAGGGTACTGGTTGGATGACATTCTTTTGTAGATATACTGGGCTGCAAAAATCCAGTCAATAATTCCATGGCTGCAAAGAGATACATAAAATTCTGTCCATTTTATGCCATCTAGAGATAGTTTAGTGCTTTGTAATCCAGAACTGATAGCCATAGCCAGACATAGTGGTACTGATCAGGGGTGGCATGCTACTGGCTCTGCCCGGCTCTATAGAACCGATAGCTCTGAAGAGCAGCAGACACCGAACCAGTTCTGTGTTTGCTGCTGTTTGACCCACCCACCTGCCCTGTCTCTTACCTATCCTTTTTTTCCTGCTTTTTCAACCTCAGCTGCTTTCAGTCTCTTTTCAAATGCTGTGCACCTGCATGCAGCACTTTTCAGCTGTCTGGGTGGCACAGTTTAAGGTTTTGTACATGCACATGCAGCAAAACGTAGTCATTGAACCGGTAGTAGCACCGGTTGAATCCCACCCCTGGTACTGATGTTAAAGGGAAGACCAATAATTATTCTGGGATTGATCAGACCTACTCATTTACCCACTAACTCTTTGCTACCATCTGATAAACCCATCAGAATGTCTGCAACCTAGATATGATATGCCTGTTCTTTGGTCAATGGCAGGGAAAATAGATGAGCACTAAGTTGTGCAGGTTTTTGCATATTCTCTGCATTTAAGGTTGCAAGGGAGATTTCAATGAAACAGATGTGTTTCAAAGCAATTCCACACTGTCTAAGACTTGAAATAAAAACAATTGATTGGAAGCAACTGTGTCAGAGGACACTGTTATTTGTAAATGGAAAACATAAATAACAACACCAGGAGGAATAGCAACAAATTTCAGAACAAAAAGAACCAAGGAAGGAATCATAACAGGAAGAGCTACTAATCTTTAACATCTACCAAATGCTCTAAACAACTCAAAATAGATGAGTTACCGCTACATAGAGAAGCAACAAGTGACCTTCATGGTTTTTTTTTATTTATCTAACAGACACATAGGGCAATTGAAATGGGGCATTCTACCATGGCTCAGAGGATAGCAATTTCAGTGAATGGCAAATGGTAAATGCAATAGTATATGATGAAATTAGAAGAAAGAACTCCAGACATTAAAAGCAAGTAAGTCTGGAAATGGACAGACTTAATCATGGTTTCAACTGGGAAACTGAGAGCATCTTAGAGCAAGCTAAGTCCAAAAGTGCTAAAGAATTCATGGAAGCCTTGCACTTTGGCAAATCACACATCACAGGCACAAACAGATAAATAACATCTACATACCATTCAAAAAAACAAAAATAAATAAATAAAAAAGACCTCACCATCCAGATGAGCAGACATTCATACCAAGATTAACATTAGACTAGCAATCAAGAAGCAAATAATATCCCAATCAAGGAACCATCAAGGCCATTCCCATCAAGCAAGCCACTAGTATGGTATATAAAATGAGAAAAAACCCCACTCCCTACTAGCATTGATGATGTTATCTAGTTTGGTAAAGAAATATCTGAAAGAAAACAACCAAGCTCAGAGAGAACCAGGAACCCCACAATTCAACCCTCAGCTACAAATATTCTCGTCTAAGTCTTGAAAAGATAAACATTTCTTGTGAATCCCTGAGTTTTAGATGGAATCAGGAGAGAAATCACAATAAGAATTGCAAATCACAATAAGAATTTTTCCTCCCTTCCCTTCCTTTCCCCATACATGTTGCTACTTCAAATCCTTACACAGAATGCAACACTCCTGCTTCAGTTAAACAGCATGAGGCTTCAGATGGCCTTGAAAGATACAACAAGGGCAAATGGCACAACAGGTGAGCTGTCCATCCTAGTAATTGAAGAAAATCATATAGCTGCCTAGCTGCTACAAAGGGAAGAGAATCATATTAATATTTAAACATTTTACTTTGTCATTAATGATCATAAGAATGAAAGAATTTCTGAAGAGTATTCAACTGCCAATTCCCTTTGAATGTTTAAGAATCGTTATGTTCACCTTTGCTTTAGGATAGAGAATGCCATCCAGGGGTGGGATTCTACTGGTTTGAGCCAGTTCGGGAGAACCGGATGTTAATTGCACATCCAGTTCGGGGAACCGGTAGTTCCGAAGACCAGCTGGTCCTGCCCACCCTGCCCCGCCCCTCCCAGAAGTCACCATGCGCTGGTTCTGGCTCCCAGGTAAGTGGAGGCTTTCAAAGCCAAAAACGGTGTGTGTGTGTGTGGATGTGGGGAGGGGGTAGATGTGGGGGGGCAGGGGGGTGCAGGGGTGCCCCCCCCCTTCTCTTCCCTTTTGGGTCTTCTAAGGCTCCAAGGAGAGGCAAACTAATCACCTAATTGAACAGCCCGCTTTTAGCATAGCAACCCTCCCTTTTAGTCCTTTTAGCATAAGAGCCTCAGGAGACCCAAAACAGGGTGCTGGGGGGAGGGCATGCTGGGGTGGAGGGGGCAGGGGCACCCCCCACCTCCCGGTGCACCCCCCCCCCACGTTTTAGGTCTCCTGAGGCTCCAGGGAGGCTTGCTATGCTAAAAACAGCCTTTTCTTTTTGCTTGGGGGAGGTGCAGGAGTGCTACCTGTCACACACCCCTGGCCACGCCCACCCAGCTGCTCAGTTAGGTGACTAGTTTGCCTCTCTCACACGAGGGCTGCCTGCTCTTCCTCCCACTGGCTGGCATGTAAGGGCTTCATTCAGTTTGTTCCTGCCCTCAAACAGTAAGGCAAAGTGCAAAGGTTCTTCAGCAGCTAGGCTTGCAATTGGCCTGCAACAACTGAGTTCCAGGTCCTTCCTCCTCTTGCTCCTTTTGCTTCTTTCTGCTTCTGCCTCCTCCTCCTCCTCTTCCTCCTCCTGCTTCCTGTTTCTCCTGCTACCTCTTCTTCCTTCTTCCTCCCCACTTTCCTCCTCTCCTTTTCCCAGCATTGCAACTGGGCTTGCTTTCCCTTCCTGCACCTCTCCAAGTTTGCAAGACAGTAGCCCAACTTGCAGCCAAGTGCTTTCCCAAAGCCTTGTTGGAGGGAAACAAGGTATGTCTGTGTGAGGGAATGTCACCTTAAGTGCTAGGTCTCCAAGGGAATCCCTCTCTTGTTTGCACCAAGACTGCTGAGTGCTGACCCAATATTTCTCTGTCTCTGCCTCTCCCCTTCCCCCTCTCTTTTGAATGGTTTTATCAGTACTTCCTCAACATGCTGGATCTTCCGTTTATTTTGCTGCAAGGGTGAGTAAGAATTGTTTCTCCCCACCCCCCACCTCCCACCCACCCCTTTCTTCCCAGTTTCTTAGAAGGAAGTCACAGGTCTAATCTGGAAGAGAATCACTGTGCTGAACCATTGAAAAGTGCAGGTGGTGGTCATTTACCCTCTTCCTGCTTTCCTGGGTCTTTGGGGGTTTCCTTTGGAGAAAAAGCAGAGAGCCTCTTCCAGTGAAGATTTCTCTGTGTCTTCTAATTTTCTTCCAGAGCAGATCAAAAAGGCCTCTTCCTGTGAAGGCTTTTCCAGTTCTTTATTCTGATTTTCTCCAGGAGCAAAATAAACCCCTTTCTAATGAAGTCTTCCCTGTGTGTTTATTCTGATTTTCCCCTGGACTGGAGCAAAATCATCTGGTAGCAGGCTTTAAGTAACAATCCCACACTTATTTTACTCCATGTGTGGCCCACTCACTATTTAATTTACCACTTCTGTTTGTGCTTCTTTCCCAAACTGTATACCTCTCTCTCTCTCTCTCTTACTCACACACACACACACACACACACACACAGGTCCATGGTAAAATTGTCTTCCATGAAACCAGTCCCTGGTGCCAGAAAGTTTGGGGATTTCTGAATTAGACCATGCAGGAGAGCCCTTTTAAGGATTATGGATTAATAGAAAAGTAACTAACTTAGCTCTGATACTAAACCAGGGGTCCCCAAACTTGGCAACTTTAAGACTTGTGGACTTCAACTCCCAGAATTCCTCAGACAGCTCTGCTTAAGGTTGCCAAGTTTGGAGACCTCTGTCCTAAATACTAAAGCTGCTGCATATAAAAAACGAGCTCTGATCAACTATCACAGCCACATTTGGATCTGATTGGAGGTCCTGGGAAAGGTGTCAGAATAACACTTAGAAGAGACCTTGGGGGGAACCCTATACCATTTCAGAAAAATTTCCATCCAGTCTTTTCTTAAAAACCTCCAGTTTTGGAGCACCCAGAACTTCTGGAGACAAGCAGGTCCACTGGTCAATTGTTCTCACCAGCAGTGGGATTCTACCAGTTCACACATATTTGCTAGAACCTGTTGTTAACATTCTAAGTAGTTCAGAGAACTGGTTGTTAGAAGAAATTACTGGCCTAATCCTGTAAGGAAGTCAGGAAGGAAACATTCTGGTGTTGCTTACAGAAACTGCCTCTCCATTAACCCTTATTACATTCTTGGCAGGACTAGACTTCCTGTCTCTGGAACTTCTCTGGAGCTTTTTTCTCCTCCTTTGCTGGTACTTTGCTTGTGTGGAGTGACCATTCAAAGTGACAATGGCACTAGAAAAGTGACTTATGACCATTTTTCACACTTACGGCTGTTGCAGCATCCCCACAGTCCTGAAAGGCCAGGTGGGGAGATGCATGCCTCAATGTGAGTGATATTGAGTTGGCCACACTCAGCCAATAACATGACCACCAAGCCATGTCCACCCAGTCACATGACCACCAAGCCACACCCACCAACTAAGCCATGCCCACAGAACCAGTTGTTAAAAATTTAGAATCACACCCCTGGTTCTTCTTAGTTTCTTCTTAGTTTTATGTTGTTTCTTTCTTTGTTCAGTTTCCATCCATTGCTTCTTGTTTTGCCTTCTGCTTCTTTCTGGCAGCCCTTTAAAAGCCTGTTGCCTATCACACTCTTGGGCAAAGCATGTGAGCCATTTTCCTCCTTTCAGTGGTCCATAAAAGTATATCTATAGCACATAAATAATAAAGTCAAAAAAAGGTGAACAACATTTTTACAGAACTATAGATAAGTTGAGGTTGGGTGTGACAAGGAATGACTGGGAAGGGAGGAGCCAGGTGAGGCAACTCTTGATGTGAGTGACATTGAGTTGCTCATGCCCAGCCAGTCATGTGACCATCAAGCCACGCCCAGCCAGTCATGTGACCACCAAGCCATCCCCACAAGTTAAGCCACGCCCATAGAATTGGTTGTTAAGAAATTTGAATCCCACCCCTGATGCCATCCAACCAAATGACAATGGCAGAGGAAACTGTTCCTGTAATGCTACCTCTAATCAGGTAGAAATAATGTGTCACTTAGCAACTCTTTTAAAGCCAGAGAAGGCTAGACCTAACTTAACTGGGCAGAAAAAGAGAGAGGAGGAAGAGGAGGTTTTATTCAATCATTTGAAACGTTTCCTACAGAGATTAGAAACATTAAATAGTTCATTAATAACCAGTACCATAACAGAATCACCTAAAGAGATCTCATAATCAAGCCAAAGTGATACCAAAGATAATAATTAACACTATATAAAAACTAACAACACTACAGATTGCATCAAAGTATTTGTTGTAATAAAAAAATTTCAGTTGTGAACTGAATAGGGTTAAGATCTCCATTGTGTTATTAATATCGTATCATGTATATCTTATAATGTATAATATTATACCATAGTAAAAATATTGAGAGTCAGTTTTGTATAGTAGTTAAGGCAAAAAGAACTGGGAAACCATGAGTTCTAGCCCTATTTTAGCACTACAGTACATTTCAGTTGCAAATAAGCTTTACACAAATAAACTGCAACGTTTATTTATGGGAGGGATTTTGGACTAGGAACTCAGGTATTTCTACTTCAATATTTTCTGTCAAGGTTTAAAGAAAAGTCTTCCAAGTGAAATGTTCTGCAGGCAGTCATGTCCAAGGTCAATACCAGTACCTGGGTAAGGATGTAAAATTTCTAGTTCAAGGCTTGGGCTTATTGATATCAACACACTCCATCCATGCTGCTGTGTTCACAGACTGACAGCAGTCCTCTCTCTAGTCTGTCACCTGCGTGGGAGCACTGACCGCTCCCATTGGTGCCGTTTGACGGCCGGCTATAAAAGGGGCTGTCAAACGGCATCAGCTGTTGCCGCCAGCTGACTGCCAGTTAGCCTCGGCAGCCGTGGCGACCCTTTATTCACCTGAATAAAGCCTGTTAACGATTCAGCCTGCGTCTGTCTCTATCTCTACTGCTGCTCTACAACACTGGAGACGAGGGCGGGATTCGATAAGAGACGAAGAGACAACCAGGCAAAGACAGCTGAGCACAGTCACTGTCAAAAAGAGCCGAAGCCGCTAAGAGCTGAACTACGACACCGCCGCTGACGCTCTCCAGGAGCGCGAAGTTCAAACTCCTAGCTGAGGAAGTGACGCCGCCTGACAGATGCCGCCGCAAGCGCTTTTCTAAAAGCACAAATTTAAAGCTCCCTCAGCTGAGGAGACCAACCCCGCCGCTTTCAAGATGGCTACAAACCCGACATTCCCTCCCTTCCAACCGATGGGTGAGACGTGGGAGTTGTACATGAAATGGTTCGAGTGCTTCCTAAACGCTATCGACCTGACAGAAGCCACTGACCTGAGGAAAAGATCCTATTTTCTGAGTGTCTGTGGGGCTGCAGTTTTTGATACAGCCTCAGCATTAGATCCCCACGCTCTGTGAAAGCTATTCCCTGGGAGGAGTTGCAGGGAATCCTGTCTAACCACTACTCCCCCAAACCCTCTCAAATAGCTAGGAGACTGGCTTTTAGAAGGAGAGTTCAGGCTGAAGGGGAGACCGTTAGTCAGTATATGGCAGCCTGGAAAGTTAGAGTAAAGTAAAAGATGATATAATTTACCCTTCCTCCTCCCTTTTTGATACTCTTGGAAATGGGATATGATCATACATGAGACGTGCTGAGACAGAGACCAACTGATACAGGCAAGCAGGAAGACCAAAGCAAAATTTGTGCAATTGTGCTTGCTAATTAGTATTTATTCTTCAAGCAACTCAATATATAATACAAGTGTATACATAAGTATATTAAAATATTAGTTAATGCTTATTATATTATTAAGGCATGTTATACATATAGTATTTTATGAAAGTCAACCAGATTTTCTGGAGTTCTAAATACCATATATGTATTTTAGAGTCTGTTTTCTTTAAAAAAAACAACACCAAACCTTTTCCAACTGTCTCAGCATATGTTTTTATTTATGGTCATTTTATAGAAATTCTTTCCATAGTCTTATTCAGGATTTATTATTCTGTTTGCAAAATAATATGCTGTGTTCAGTGGTGGGATTAAAATTTTTTTACTACCGGTTCTGTGGGCGTGGCTTGGTGAGCATGGCAGGGAAAGGTTACTGAAAAATCCCATTCCCTCCCCACCCCACTAACCTGCTTCCCAGCTCCATTCTCCTGTGCAGGGCACTCATTGAAGATCCAGCCAATCAGCTGGGACTCGGGAGGCAGATAATAGATGAGGCCGGGGCTAGTCAGATGTGGCATTTGCCGGTTCTCCAAACTATTCAAAATGTCCACTACTGGTTCTCCAGAACTGGTAAGAACCTGCTGAATACCACCTCTGGCTGTGTTGGCCAGTTACTTGTGTTTATTAATGCTCATTTAATAGATATTCTTTCTGTATTATTATTAAGGATCCATAATTATAAAGTATGGAAGTTCCCTAAGAATCTAAAACCATGCAAGAACATATTTAAAAAAGAAAACGAAGGTGAAATTTGTTTCATCCAAAGGGAAGTCTCTATAGAACAGGAATAATAGGAACTATTAAAAATAATCCAGATCTGAATACAGTGGAAAGCAAAGTATAGGGACACCAACGCCTGGGAAGAGTTGCTCTTGAAAGCTAGCAGAATTCAGTTAATACCATCAGGAAATACTAGAGAGGTTTTTTTAAAAAAAGAAAAATCCCCTAAAATCCTGGGATTTCCCAGTTCCAAGGAATACAAACCTCTTCTGTAATATCACCAACAAAATTCACGGGTGTGTCTATATCAGAAATCAAATTCTGTTTGAAGCACACTTTTCCTTTACATCTGACATTGGTTGCATAGCTAGTGGCTATATCTGGATTTTTCTTTTTTCTTTTAAATGAAGAGTAAACTGGGGAAATTCACTAGAAACTACAGTGTGTGTGAAAAAACATTTTTAACTTTCCTTTTTTTCCTATACTC